GGTGGCCAGAAGAGTCATTGACAATCCTAAGAGCTTTGTTTAAAAGTCTGGATTTATAAAGAACCTCCAGAACAGGAAGCTCACAGCCCACGGTCCTCTTTGCAGAGCGGAGCACCTTGTTTAAAGCTCTCTTTTTTTTATCTGTGATGTTTCCAAACCACACAGACACAGAACCAACAAGTAAACTCTCAATGGTGCAGCGATAAAAGTTAAGCACAATCTTAGAGTTAGTGGTAAATTCTCTAAGTTTACGCAGAAAGTAGAGACGCTGACGAGCTCTCTTAACGACTCGGTCAGTGTTTTTAACCCATTTCAGGTTAGACAGAGTTAAACCCAGAAACATTTCATTCATTCTGCCACATTTTTCATACCAACTGTACACAGCTGTTTCTACAAAGTGCTAGTCCTAGAGTTCAATGTGAATCACAGCTGTATCTGGTGAACAGACATGGCTCTCTCTTTCTGGTCTCTCTCTCTGGTCTCCCTCTGTTCTCTCTCTCTAGTCTTTCTATCTGGTCTCCCTCTAGTCTCTCTGGTCCCTCTATTGATTGCTCTCTGGTCCCTGGTCACCCTCAGCTCTCCCTCTGCTCTCTCTCTGTTCTCTCTGCTCTCTCTCTGCTCTCCCTCTGCTCTCTTTCTGCTCTCCCTCTGCTCTCCCTCTGCTCTCTCTCTACTCTCTCTCTGATCTCCCTCTGCTCTCTCTCTGCTCTCTCCCTCTGCTCTCCCTCTGCTCTCTCTCTACTCTCTCTCTGATCTCCCTCTGCTCTCTCTCTGATCTCTCTCTGCTCTCTCTTTGCTCTCTCTTCTCTCCCTCTGATGTCTCTCTGCTCTCTCTTTGCTCTCTCTCTCTGATCTCTCTCTGCTCTCTCTCTGCTCTCTCTCTACTCTCTCTCTTCTCTCTCTGCTCTCCCTCTGCTCTCTCTCTGCTCTCCCTCTACTCTCTCTCTGCTCTCCCTCTACTCTCTCTCTTCTCTCTCTGCTCTCCCTCTGCTCTCTCTCTGCTCTCCTTCTGATCTCTCTCTCTGCTCTCTCTCTGCTCTCTCTCTACTCTCTCTCTGATCTCCCTCTGCTCTCTCTCTGATCTCTCTCTGCTCTCTCTTTGCTCTCTCTTCTCTCCCTCTGATGTTTCTCTGCTCTCTCTTTGCTCTCTCTCTCTGATCTCTCTCTGCTCTCTCTCTGCTCTCTCTCTACTCTCTCTCTTCTCTCTCTGCTCTCCCTCTGCTCTCTCTCTGCTCTCCTTCTGCTCTCTCTCTGCTCTCCCTCTACTCTCTCTCTTCTCTCTCTGCTCTCCCTCTGCTCTCTCTCTGCTCTCCTTCTGCTCTCTCTCTCTGCTCTCTCTCTGCTCTCTCTCTGCTCTCTTTCTGCTCTCTCTCTGCTCTCTCTCTGCTCTCCTTCTGCTCTCTCTCTGCTCTCTCTCTGCTCTCTCTCTGCTCTCCTTCTGCTCTCTCTCTGCTCTCTCTCTGTGCTTCAGTCCTGTGTATAAACTGTGATTCATTGCGTCTCTTGAACGCACCTTCTGGATCTCTCTCGCTGTTATGACCAAAACAGGGAAATTGCCTCAGTTTCTTTTCATTAATCAAAAAAACAGACATCGATGCTGTTTTTCTGCGTGATGAACGATCTTTGTTAATGGAGACCTACACTCATCTTTCCTCATTGTCAGGAACATGGATTTCTCTGTGTGATGACTTTGCACGTTTTATTTCTGCTGCTGCTGTGTGTGTTTGTGCGCTCAGGAAAGATGTTGGACATAAGTCATTTCAATTAGCAACACAAGCTAGCAGAACTTTTAGATTAGATTTTATTTACACAAAATCACAGTTGATAGTCCACATGCATCTGGTTCAGTCTGAATCACAGCAGTATCTCTGGGCTTGCTCTGGTCTCTCTCTGGTTTCTGGTATCTCTCTCTCTCTGGTCCTTCTCTCTGGTCTCTCTGTTCTCTCTCTGGTCCCGCTCTCGAGTCTCTCTCTGGTCTCTCTAATCTCTCTTTTGTCCCTCTCTAGTCTCTCTTTGGTCGATCTCTCTGGTCTCTTGGTCTCTCTCTGGTCTCGCTGATCTCTCTCTTGTCTCTCTCTAGTCTCTCTCTGGTCTCTCTAATCTCTCTTTTGTCCCTCTCTAGTCTCTCTCTGGTCTCTCTCGGCTCTCTCTGATCTCTCTCTTGTCTTTCTCTAGTAGTCTCTCTCTGGTCCCTCTCTCTGGTCCCTCTCTCTGGTCTCTTTCTGGTCTCTCTCTGGTCTCTCTAGTCGCTCTGGTCTCTTTCTTCTCTCACTGGTCCCTCTCTTCTCTCTCGCTTCTCTCTCTGGTCTCGCTCTCTGGTCTCTCTCTGGTCCCTCTCTTCTCTCTCGCTTCTCTCTCTGGTCTCGCTCTCTGGTCTCTCTCTGGTCCCTCTCTTCTCTCTCGCTTCTCTCTCTGGTCCCTCTCTTCTCTCTCTGGTCTGTCTCTGGTCTCTCTATTCTCTCTCCTTGGATGTCTCTCTGGTCTCTCTCTAGTCACCAGGGGAGATAAGAGTAGAGTAGAGGAGAGGAGGTTCTGGTGGAAACAGGGCTTTTGTATGCTACCAGTGCATGTTGTACCTCATTATAAATCTAATGAGACGATGCGCCACTAGATTCAACCTAATAGATCCCTGATAGAAACTCCCTGACTGAGCACGTCTCTGCTCTATTAGCAACTCACAAAGGATGCAGTTAAGTAATGTTCTATACTGAGAAGGCCGGGCTTCCATCCATAGGGTCTCTGGTAGGTTGGTCCCAGCTAACCATGCTCTACGTACAGGGAAAATACTGAGAATTGTAATTTAATCTAAGGAAAAGAATGTCAAGAGTGGTCCCTCTTTCTCTCTAGTTTCTTTCTGGCCTCTTGCTTTCTCTGGTCTCTCTCAGGTCTCTTTCTAGTCTACTTCTGGTCTCTCTCTGGTCTCTCTATCTCTGGTCTCTCCGTAGTCTGTCTCTTGTCTCTGGCCTCTCTCTCTCTCTCTCTCTCTCTCTTTGGTCTCCCTCTGGTCTATCTCTAGTCTCTCTCTGGTCTCTATCTCTCTCTCTGGTCCCTCTCCGGTGCTGTTGAATAGAGTTGTGTGTCCATGTTGTAATAATCGTTGTGTTGCAGGTGTATGGCGTGTGTGTCCAGTCTCTGGGGCTGTGAGTGGAACATCATGGAACACAGCTGCAGCGACATGAACGAGAGAGTCTCAGGAGCTCACATCATCAAACACAGACAGGTCAGTCCTCTCTCTCTGGTCTCTCTCTGGTCCCTCTCTCTGGTCCCTCTCTCTGGTCTCTCTCCCTGGTCTCTCTCCCTGGTCTCTCTCTGGTCCCTCTCTCTGGTCTCTCTCCCTGGTCTCTCTCCCTGGTCTCTCTCTGGTCTCTCTCTGGTCTCTCTTTCTGGTCTGTCTCTGGTCTCTCTGTGGTCTCCCTCTGGTCTCTCTCTCTGGTCTCTCTCTGGTCTCTCTCTGGTCTGTCTCTGGTCTCTCATTCTGGTCTCTCTCTCTTGTCTCTCTTTGGTCCTTTTCACTCTTGCCTTTCTCTCTCTCTCTCTCTCTAGGTCTCTCTCCCTCTGGTCTCTCCCTCTGGTCTCTCCCTCTGGTCCCTCTCTCTAGTCTCTCTCTGTTCTCTCTCTCTGATCCTAGTTATTAGCAATTAAATCAAAAATATGTGTCTCCATAATAGTCTTCCCATCCTTTTATAAGAATTTCATTATACAAGAAATACCACGAGACTATTCCTTTTTACCAAAACTCATAGTATTTTAAAGGTATGTAGTGATCACAGACATTTTTTGAATAACTAAAATAATCCCGGCCGTGTAGTCGTGCATGCTAAAGCCTCTCTGCTCAGTGAAATGAATGAGCTCCTTCTGGCGTGATCAGCAGAGACTGCGGCGTGTGACGGAGGCAGCTGCGAAGTCTGAGCCTTAAGTGACTTTTAAAAATGTTCCTGATGCTTTTGTTTTTCATGGATTCATCTGGTGTTGTTCAGGGAGGACTCTCTGGTCTCTCTCTGGTCTATATCTCTGGTCTCTCCGCTGGTCTCTGTCTATGTGGTCCCTTTCTCTCTAGTTCCTCTCTCTCTGGTTTCTTTCTCCGGCCTCTGTCTGATCTGTATCTCTGGTGTCTTTCTGGTCTCTCTCTGGTCTCTCTCTGGTCTCTCTCTGGTCTCTCTCTGGTCGTTCTCTGGTCTCCATCTGGTATCTCTCTGGTCTCTCTCTGGTTTCTCTCTGGTCGTTCTCTGGTCTCTCTCTGGTCTCTCTCTGGTCTCTCTCTGGTCGTTCTCTGGTCTCTCTCTGGTATCTCTCTGGTCTCTCTCTGGTCGTTCTCTGGTCTCTCTCTGGTATCTCTCTGGTCTCTCTCTGGTTTCTCTCTGGTCGTTCTCTGGTCTCTCTCTGGTATCTCTCTGGTCTCTCTGTGGTATCTCTCTGGTCTCTCTCTGGTATCTCTCTGGTCTCTCTCTGGTCTCTCTCTGGGTGTTCTCTGGTCTCTCTCTGGTCTCTCTCTGGTATCTCTCTGGTCTCTCTCTGGTCTCTCTCTGGTCGTTCTCTGGTCTCTCTCTGGTCGTTCTCTGGTCTCTCTCTGGTCTCTCTCTGGTCTCTCTCTGGTCTCTCTCTGGTCTCTCTCTGGTCGTTCTCTGGTCTCTCTCTGGTCTCTCTCTGGTCTCTCTCTGGTCGTTCTCTGGTCTCTCTCTGGTCGTTCTCTGGTCTCTCTCTGGTATCTCTCTGGTCTCTCTCTGGTATCTCTCTGGTCTCTCTCTGGTTGTTCTAATACAGGGGTGCTCACACTTTTTCAGCATGCGAGCTACTTATAAAAGGATCAAGTCAAAATGATCTACCTACTACAAAAATGCAAATCATATATTTATTTCAAAAAATATTCTTTATATCTACAATGTATGTTTATGTACGTGCAAAACCGCATGAGCCAATATAGCACAACACAACACAATTACCTATGTACATTTTTTGTCATTACCCGAGTTTACTCTTATGACTTTCACTGAATTGAATCGGCCAAGGATGCATAGTCCGGAAAATTGGTGGTAACTCGCTGACAAGTTTGTCGTGGTTTAGCTTTCCTGCACTGAGCGCGGTTGTTTGCGCATGTGCAGTCACCTAAGTGTCAGTAAAACATTACTGAGTAAAACACAGATGTCATTTGACTGTGGTGCCATGTCCATGTGCCATGCCTGTTTTTTTTAAATCCAAATATTTCCCCTCCTCAGTTTATAAAATAATTTGCATCCACACATCTGCGTTATCAATCACATTCGTAACATTCCAAACATGTGCGTCACGTCCTGTCCTGCGTTGGGGAAAAACACAGAAGTGGGCGGAGCTTTGATGCAGATGCCGGTAACGGCACTTTTACAGTCATAGAAGACACTCAGAGTAAAGACGTATGTTTACAAGCACTGACCCCGTCCTCAGTCCTGGTTTAGTCCTGGTTTAGTCCGGGTTTAGTCCTGGTTTAGTCCTGGTTTGGTTGTTTTCGAGCGTGAGTCCCCGCCATCACTTTGCTGCTCTCTGATGTGGAGGGTGTTCGCTGCTGCGAGCATCTCACAGCAAACAGTTTTTAAGGTAGTATGATCCATGCTTCAGTGATCAGAGGAATTTAGGGGGGTACTGTGGCGTGCGAGAACGCAAAACTCCGGTTATCTCTGTCTACACACAAATGCATTAACGGAGTTTTCAAAAATCTCCACTTTGCCCGGAGTTTTTTGTATATATTCGTTTAGAATGTGTATTTATTTATTTATTTAATGAGATCTACCAATACTACCTTTGCGATCGACTGGTAGATCGCGATCGACGTATTGAGCACCCCTGTTCTAATAGATTCCTCTGGTGTTCTTCAGGGAGGAAAGTGTCCAAAGTTTGAGAATCCGGACCCAGTTCTGATCCCTGTCGGCCACAAGAGACGCATCAGCTTTGAGGGCTTCAACCTGGATCTGTACCAGGTGAGAGCTCTGCTGGTGTGCCCTGGATTCAGAAAACAGAGAGTGGAGAAATCACAGCTGAACCCACAGAACTGAAGCTGTAGATCCAGGACTGAGGCTGTAGACCCAGGACTGAGGCTGTAGACCCAGGACTGAGGCTGTAGATCCAGGACTGAGGCTGTAGACCCAGTACTGAGGCTGTAGACCCAGGACTGAGGCTGTAGATCCAGGACTGAGGCTGTAGACCCAGGACTGAGGCTGTAGATCCAGGACTGAGGCTGTAGACCCAGGACTGAGGCTGTAGACCCAGGACTGAGGCTGTAGACCCAGGACTGAGGCTGTAGACCCAGGACTGAGGCTGTAGACCCAGGACTGAGGCTGTATAATATGTATTTGAGTGTGTGTGTGTGTGTGTGAGCGTGTGTGTGTTTGTGTTTGTGTGTGAGTGTGTGTGTGTGTGTGTGTGTGAGCGTGTGTGTGTTTGTGTTTGTGTGTGAGTGTGTGTGTGTGTGTGTGTGTGTGTGTCAGTTGTGTTGAGAGGCTGTTTAAAGTGTGTGTGTTTCTCAGGGTCGGTCCTTCACCATCGGCACAGAGCTGATGAGGAGTGTGGAGGAGGACGTCTCTTACGCAGACACTTTCTACAGCTTCAATGGATTCAACGTAAGTCTGGACCATTAACAGTCCATGGTCTGGACCATTAACAGTCCATGGTCTGGCCCATTAACAGTGCATGGTCTGGCCCATTAACAGTCCATGGTCTGGACCATTAACAGTCCATGGTCTGGACCCTCTGCTGGTCCAGGTCAGCAACTGTTTAAATCATGACACTGTGAAAGGAGAGAGGAGCTGTTTTGAAAAAGGCTTGATCAGAGAAAGAGAGCAGAGCTGAGAGAGAGACCAGAGAGAAAGACAAGAGGAAGAGAGCAGAGAGACCAGAGAGAGAGATATACCAGAGAGAGACCAGAGAGAGACCAGAGAGAAACCAGGAAGAGAGAGCAGAGAGATATCAGAGAGACTAGAGACTGACCCAGTTTGGGTCACCTCCTCTGCTTCTCCACCACTCCTCTCACCTCCTCTTGCCTTCTCTGCTCCTCCACTGCTCCTCTCACCTCCTCTCACCTCCTCCACTGCTCCTCTCACCTCCTCCGCTGTTCCTCTCACCTCCTCTCACCTCCTCTCACCTCCTCTCACCTCCTCCACTGCTCCTCTCACCTCCTCCGCTGCTCCTCTCACCTCCTCTCACCTCCTCCGCTGCTCCTCTCACCTCCTCTCACCTCCTCCGCTGCTCCTCTCACCTCCTCTCACCTCCTCTCACCTCCTCTCACCTCCTCCGCTGCTCCTCTCACCTCCTCTCACCTCCTCTCACCTCCTCTCACCTCCTCCACTGCTCCTCTCACCTCCGTGTGAAGTTATTTTAGCTCCTCGTTGACATTGGGCCATCTCTGAAAGCTCAAACTCCACTTAGCCCGGAGCCATGTTCTTTTTTCAACATTGATTTTATTTTTCCAGTTTGAAAATCTGCCAAACCATGTGTCATTTTTTATAGTTCCTCTCTCCCCCCTCCCTCCCTCCATCTCTCCCGCCCTCTCTCTCTCTCCCCCGCCGGCGTGGGAGGGAGTGGCAGCCCACACTGGAAGCTTCAGTCGCCGCCATTAATCAGAGAATTGTGTTTTAATAATTCATTTTCTTCTCATTTCTGTAGTTTTCCTTCGACAAGTCGCCGGAGACCAATGTGCTTTTCTACGTCAAGGACAAAGACACGGGCAAGAAGATGGACAGCACCCTCAATGGTACCGAGGCATTTACCATTTTGATGAAAGAAGTTTATTTATGTCCATTGTTTTCCTTCGAGAGAACAGACAGATCTACTTATTATTCTGCAAATGAGTGTCTGAGATGGAGAGAACTCATAAAGTCAAGGATGTTTAACTTGTTTTAAGATAATGGCAAGCCTTTAGAGAGAGATCAGAGAGATGGACTAGAGAGAGACCAGAGGGAGGCTAGAGAGAGACCAGAGAGAGACCAGAGAGAGACCAGAGGGAGGCTAGAGAGAGACCAGAGAGAGACCAGAGAGAGACCAGAGGGAGGCTAGAGATAGACTAGAGAGAGACCAGAGGGAGGCTAGAGAGAGACTAGAGAGAGACCAGAGGGAGGCTAGAGAGAGACTAGAGAGAGACCAGAGGGAGGCTAGAGAGATAGACTAGAGAGAGACCAGAGGGAGGCTAGATATAGACTAGAGAGAGACCAGAGGGAGGCTAGAAATAGACTAGAGAGGGACCAGAGGGAGGCTAGAGAGATAGACTAGAGAGAGACCAGAGAGAGGCTAGAGATAGACTAGAGAGAGACCAGAGGGAGGCTAGAGATAGACTAGAGAGAGACCAGAGGGAGGCTAGAGAGATAGACTAGAGAGAGACCAGAGGGAGAATAGAGATAGACTAGAGAGAGACCAGAGGGAGGCTAGAGATAGACTAGAGAGAGACCAGAGGGAGGCTAGAGAGAGACTAGAGAGAGACCAGAGGGAGGCTAGAGATAGACTAGAGAGAGACCAGAGAGAGACCAGAGGGAGGCTAGAGAGAGACTAGAGAGAGACCAGAGGGAGGCTAGAGATAGACTAGAGAGAGACCAGAGAGAGACCAGAGGGAGGCTAGAGAGAGACAAGAGAGAGATCAGAGGGAGGCTAGAGAGAGACAAGAGAGAGACCAGAGAGAGACCAGAGGGAGGCTAGAGAGAGACCAGAGAGAGACCAGAGGGAGGCTAGAGAGAGACAAGAGAGAGATCAGAGGGAGGCTAGAGAGAGAGACTGTAGAGAGAGAGAGAGAGAGAGAGAGACAGAGAGAGACCAGAGAAAGAGACCAGCGAGAGACCAGCGAGAGACCAGCGAGAGACCAGAGAGAGACCAGAGAGACCAGAGAGAGACCAGAGAGAGACCAGCGAGAAACCAGCGAGAGACCAGCGAGAGACCAGCGAGAGACCAGCGAGAGACCAGAGAGAGACCAGAGAGAGACCAGAGAGAGACCAGAGAGAGACCAGAGAGAACCTAGGGAGAGCCTAGACAGGGACCAGAGAGAGAGCAGAGCTGCAGTCAGAGCTCAGACAGATCTACTTACTATTCTGCGAAGGCTATGGATGGAATGAGTTAATAAATTCAAAGATATTAAACTTATTTTAACATAATGACGAACCTATAGGGCATATTTATAAAAGATGTGTGTTTTTCATTTGTATTCAACCTTAAAGCAGAATAAGACTCCAAGTTAGACAATCACAAAGTACCGACCAGGACTGAGGCTGTAGATCCAGGACTGAGGCTGTAGATCCAGGACTGAGACTGTAGACCCAGGACTGAGGCTGTAGACCCAGGATTGAGGCTGTAGACCCAGGACTGAGGCTGTAGACCCAGGACTGAGGCTGTAGACCCAGGACTGAGGCTGTAGACCCAGGACTGAGGCTGTAGATCTAGGACTGAGGCTGTAGACCCAGGACTGAGGCTGTAGACCCAGGACTGAGGCTGTAGACCCAGGACTGAGGCTGTAGACCCAGGACTGAGGCTGTAGATCTAGGACTGAGGCTGTAGACCCAGGACTGAAGGTGTAGATCCAGGACTGAGGCTGTAGACCCAGGACTGAGACTGTAGACCCAGGACTGAGGCTGTAGATCCAGGACTGAGGCTGTAGATCTAGGACTGAGGCTGTAGACCCAGGACTGAGGCTGTAGATCCAGGACTGAGGCTGTAGACCCAGGACTGAGACTGTAGACCCAGGACTGAGGCTGTAGACCCAGGACTGAGGCTGTAGATCTAGGACTGAGGCTGTAGACCCAGGACTGAAGGTGTAGATCCAGGACTGAGGCTGTAGACCCAGGACTGAGACTGTAGACCCAGGACTGAGGCTGTAGATCCAGGACTGAGACTGTAGCCTTTCAAATGACTGTATTTCAAACTATCTGGAACTGTCCCTCTCTAAGCACTGATGCTGAGGTCTGCTGTGCTGTTTTCAGTCCATTAATCACTCAGACTCAGTGTGAGCTCAGACCTGGTGCAAAGTAATGTCTGTTTGAACACTTTATTATTTTAGTTTTAAAGCAGAAGCTAAAACCTGGGACTCGAAGGTCTGTTTGAGCCATTAACCATAAAACTAATTCATAATCTGTGTTATTATAATCTCTTTGTGAATCCAACCAGAGTCATGGAAATGCAGTTTTGTTTATTTTGTTGCACTTTGAGTTGATTTGTGAATGAACTGTGCTATTCAATTAAACTTGCCTTTCCTGCCTGTGTGTGTGTGTGTGTGTGTGTGTGTCTGTGCTGCAGTGACTCTGTACAACTGTGCCGTGGGGCGCCAGGACTGCAGTCTGTGTAAGAACGCAGACCCCAAATACAGATGTGTGTGGTGCCCACGACAGAAGGCCTGTGTGTTCGAAGACCTCTGCTCCTCTGGAGACATGGACCATGTGGACTGTCCTCACCCTCAGATCACTGATGTAAGTTATACACACCATGTGGACACACACCATGTGTACACACACCATGTGGACTGTCCTCACCCTCAGATCACTGATGTAAGTTATACACACCATGTGGACACACACCATGTGTACACACACCATGTGGACTGTCCTCACCCTCAGATCACTGATGTAAGTTATACACACCATGTGTATACACACCACTTGGACGCACACCATTTGGACGCACACCATGTGGACGCATACCATGTGTATACACACCATGTGTATACACACCATTTGGACACACACCATGTGGACGCACACCATGTGGACGCACACCATGTGTATACACACCATGTGTATACACACCATTTGGACACACAACATGTGGACGCACACCATGTGGACGCACACCATGTGCAGTGGCGTTCCATGGGTACCCTTGGGGGCCCCGATACCAACCACATAACCACATACAAAGGTTTATATTACAGTAGGTATGAATATATATTTATAAATAAGTTAAAATGCAATATCTTTTACATGTTTTGTACATTTATATAAATTAAATGTAGATAATTTCTTATTTTAACCATAAATGGATAGTCCTGGGGCCTGCCTAGCAGACTGTACACTCTACCATAGAAAACTGTGAATACTTCAGTACTGTGACACAAAGCAGTGAGAAATCCTTCAGCAGGTCTTTTTATAATCTTGTATAATCTCATCATATTCATTACAAAAACTACCTCTCAAAGTGTATCCATCCTACAAAATCTAATCTTTCATTTGGCCCTCGGTGTTTCTAAGTCTATAACACCGGGGGCCAAATGAAAGATTAGGCTCTTAGCTTTAGGCTATATCCACACGAAGACAAAACGCTTATAATTTCAGAAACTTTTTCTGTAAACACGGAGTTAGCTCAGTAAATGTGTGCGTCCATATGAATGTAGTCAATACGCCTGAAAACGCTGTGAAACTATGCCAGACCTGTTGGTGGCGCTGTGACGCAATGACGGGATCAAGCCCAAACTTCCGTGGGCATGCGCGGAATTTTGTAAACAGACAACATGGCGAGTGTGCGAGCTGGTACTACATTAGTATGGACGGACGATGAGGTTGAACTGTTGCTTCGGGTCACACTGGATTACAAAACCAACAAGCTACATTGTTGTTGTCATTATTTTCTGAGTGCGGCGCATGCGTGCTTTAACAAGAGGCGGGGCGATGACGCAAGCGTCTCAGATACATTGCGGAGAGGCAGTAACCACGGAGCGGCATATACGGAGTTTTGAAATCTTTTCACTCTGGGACCTAGTTTCAAAAATGTTCGTTTACACCCCCCCAAAACGCCGGCCTCGTATGGACGATACACTGGATTGATAAAGTATTTTTGCGTTTAGGCCTGAGCTTGACTTCGTGTGGACAGGGCCTTAGTCTCCAAAAAACTGCATGTTTTTACCTTTTACTGTTCTTGAGTAATCTGTCATAGATATATATATATATATATATATATATATATATATATATATATATATATATATATATATATATATATATATATATATATATATATATTATGTGGATGCACACCATGTGTACACACACCATGTGTACACACACCATGTGAATGCACAGCATGTGTACACACACCATGTGGACGCACACCATGTGGACGCACCCCATGTGAATGCACACCATGTGTACACACACCATGTGGACGCACACCATGTGGACGCACACCATGTGAATGCACACCATGTGGACGCACACCATGTGAATGCACACCATGTGTACACACACCATGTGGACGCACACCATGTGGATGCACACCATGTGTACACACACCATGTGTACACACACCATGTGAATGCACACCATGTGTACACACACCATGTGTATACACACCATGTGTACACACACCATGTGAATGCACACCATGTGTACACACACCATGTGGACGCACACCATGTGGACGCACCCCATGTGGACGCACACCATGTGGACACACACCATGTGGACTGTCCTTATCCTCAGATCATTGATAGCTTAAAGCTGAGGTACTTAACTTTCAAACCAAGGAGGCTTTATCTGCCACAGAATGCTGTTGTCAAGGAATTATAAATGAATACATTTTAAATGTATGTTCAAATGAGTGGAGCAGTCAAAATGACTGCACTGGGAGTTTTCAAAACATTTCAAAACTAAAAGATAATTTTATAAAATTATCCATCCATCCATTTTTTAACTATTTTAACGATTATAACTTAAAATAGTCCAGGATATAATCCAGGATGTGACTTTAGAATAAGTCACAGTTCTGAACAGAGTCAGAACTACGACCGCCACATTGACTGCTCTGGGAGTTCATGTGTTAGAGAGATTATATGTTCCTGTAAAAAGGTTCTGCTCCCCTCTTCATCATCACCATCATCTTCATCATCATCAGTGTTTGTTATTCTGCTGTAATGAGGGAACCAGGAGAAAATCCTCCCATTGTTACGACTGACTGACAGCTCAAAGTGCTATGTCCTCTCCCTCCCTCGCCCCTCCACCTTATCAGGGCGTTTAGCTGTGTGTGTGTGTGTGTGTGTTGTGTTGTGTGTGTGTCACTGGTTAGTGTATCGACTGGTCACTGGTCAGAGTCCGGTCTCTGGTGTGAGCCTCGACTCAGATCAATAGTCTCTTTGTTTTCTAATTGTCGCGGCTCATTGTAATTGAGCTTTCGTTGTTGCATCGATGTGAGTGTGACCAAGGTTACTGCACGGAGCACGCTCAGAGGAGGAGGAGCGGTACTTTTACTCCCAACTTTTACTCTCACTTTGTCCCACTGGGTTTCTGGTTCCTCTCTGAAGCAGGAGGGTCTGAGAACAGTGATGGTCCAGGACATTTATTAACATTTCTGGTTAGGGATAGACACAATATTCCCTGTATCTGTGTGTATTTAGATAGATATTCAAGGCTGTAGATCCAGAAATGAGGCTGTAGATCCAGAAATGAGGCTGTAGATCCAGAAATGAGGCTGTAGATCCAGGAATGAGGCTGTAGATCCAGGAATGAGGCTGTAGACCCAGAAATGAGGCTGTAGATCCAGAAATGAGGCTGTAGATCCAGAAATGAGGCTGTAGATCCAGGAATGAGGCTGTAGACCCAGAAATGAGGCTGTAGATCCAGAAATGAGGCTGTAGATCCAGGAATGAGGCTGTAGACCCAGGAATGTGGCTTTAGATCCAGGACTGAGGCTGTAGACCCAGGAATGTGGCTTTAGATCCAGGACTGAGGCTGTAGATCCAGGACTGAGGCTGTAGATCCAGGACTGAGGCTGTAGATCCAGGACTGAGGCTGTGGATCCAGGCCTGAGCCTTTAGATCCAGGACTGATCCTTTGAACTGTGTTGGCAGTTTTGTAAAGTCCTCCAAGATAACTTCTTTTGTGATTTAGGGAATTACAAGAATCCATTGAATTGCTGTCCATAAGTCCAGTCCCGGGGAGACTGTCCACAGGTGCAGATGGAAGAGACCGATAGACCCATTACTTTTCACTAACCAGCTTCTTCTTCTGGTCTCGTCTCCTCAGATTGTCCCTAAGTTCGGGCCTCCGCAGGGGGGCATCTCCATCACCATCCGAGGGTCCAACCTGGGCATCCACCCTGACGACATCGTGAGCATCTCTGTGGTGGGAGAACCATGTGTGCACCAGAAAGACCAGTACTCTGTCTCCACCAGGTACGTACCACCAGGACCTTTTTATACATGTGTTAAAGGTGACAGACACACAGACACACAGACAGACAGACACACAGACAGACACACAGACAGACACACAGAGAGACACCACAGACACACAGACAGACACACAGACAGACAGACAGACAGACAGACAGACAGACAGACAGACAGACACACAGACAGACAGACACACAGACAGACACACAGACAGACACACAGACAGACACCACAGACACACAGACAGACAGACACACAGAGAGACACCACAGACACACAGACAGACACACAGACAGACACCACAGACACACAGACAGACAGACACACAGAGAGACACCACAGACACACAGACAGACAGACACACAGACAGACACACAGACAGACACCACAGACACACAGACAGACACACAGACAGACACCACAGACACACAGACAGACAGACACACAGAGAGACACCACAGACACACAGACAGACAGACACACAGACAGACACACAGAGAGACACCACAGACAGACAGACAGACAGACACACAGACAGACACACAGAGAGACACCACAGACACACAGACAGACAGACACACAGAGAGACACCACAGACACACAGACAGACACACAGACAGACACACAGACAGACAGACAGACAGACACACAGAGAGACACCACAGACACACAGACAGACACACAGACAGACAGACACACAGACACACAGACAGACAGACACACAGAGAGACACCACAGACACACAGACAGACAGACACACAGACACACAGACACACAGACAGACAGACACACAGACACACAGACAGACAGACACACAGACAGACAGACACACAGACACACAGACAGACAGACAGACACAGAGAGAAAGAGACGCAACACACAGACACACAGACAGACAGACACACAGACACACAGACAGACAGACACACAGACAGACAGACAAACACAGAGAGAAAGAGACACAACACACAGACACGCACTCATTCATAATTATTTAAACACACATGCATATACACACAGACTTACACAAAAACAGACGGACTGACACCCACACACACAGAGAGAGAGACGCACACACACACAGAAGGAGAGTAACACACAGAGAGAGACACACACACGTACACACACATATACACGCACACACACACCCTTAACTACATTTGTAGCCTTTCAGCATAAATATACAAGAAACACTGACAATGATTAATAATAATTTCCAATTGACAAACACACAAACTTAGAAACACTTAGCAACCAACATCATAATTGCACTAAACACACAAAGGCCGGGGACCACTGAGACTGAGGCTGACGAGTTTCCATCAGTCTGAGAGTAAATTCACACCGTTGCCATAGAAACCGACAATCCAAAACTAAACCTGCTTCTCTCTGAATGGTCAAACGTCCTTAAACCGTCGCTTAGAAATAAAGAACTCGCAAATGGATTCAGAGAGACTGAGGTGGTCCAAGTCAAGTTTATCACTGGATCCTGTGTCTCTCCCAAGGACTGAACGCTGCATGGGTTACATAGAAAAGTTGTTGATTCACCAACAGCAGTTCAGAGAATCAAATCGTTAAGAGGTATTCACAGGAAACAATAACAAACACATAGGAGCCATTGGTTCATAGGGAGCGGGAAGACCACTGTCCCAGCAGGAGGCCAGTCCCTGTGCTCATCAGAGTCCCAGCAGGAGGCCAGTCCCTGTGCTCCTCAGAGTCCCAGCAGGAGGCCAGTCCCTGTGCTCCTCAGAGTCCCAGCAGGAGGCCAGTCCCTGTGCTCCCCATACTCCCAGCAGGAGGCCAGTCCCTGTGCTCCTCAGAGTCCCAGCAGGAGGCCAGTCCCTGTGCTCCTCAGAGTCCCAGCAGGAGGCCAGTCCCTGTGCTCCTCAGACTCCCAGCAGGAGGCCAGTCCCTGTGCTCCTCAGTGTCCCAGCAGGAGGCCAGTCCCTGTGCTCCTCAGAGTCCCAGCAGGAGGCCAGTCCCTGTGCCCCTCTGAGTCCCAGCAGGAGGCCAGTCCCTGTGCCCCTCTGAGTCCCAGCAGGAGGCCAGTCCCTGTGCCCCTCAGAGTCCTCCTTGGTCCATAAGGCACTAACATGTCACAGATGTACTTTGGTGCGGGCCGTGGAGAGACTTGTAACATGGTTTCCTCCTCCATTTGGCGGATCACTTGTTGAGTCTCTGTATCTACTTGAAGCTGAAATCTACCTCATTGTTGCGTCTCTATCACTTGGTTTCAGGCACTTTTACCATCAAGCTGCATCTCCACCTTTCTATAGAGCCCTATAATTGAAAACTAAGGGTTCAAAACAATTGAGAAAAAACATTATTTTTGTTATTAGAACTCCTAAATCTTAGAAAAATAATAATGCAAAAATAATTACATTGCTTCATTCAAGGAGTGAACATCAAAGGGTTAAAGTCTGCTCACTGAGTCACAGGAAGCAAAGACCTGAGACCAGGACTAATGCGAGAGGACTTCAGGACAGAGACCTGAGACCTGGACTAATGTGAGAGGACTTCAGGAGAGAGACCTGAGACCAGGACTAATGTTAGAGGACTTCAGGAGAGAGACCTGAGACCAGGACTAATGTTAGAGGACTTCAGGACAGAGACCTGAGACCAGGACTAATGTGAGAAGACTTCAGGACAGAGACCAGAGACCAGGACTAATGTGAGAGGACTTCAGGACAGAGACCAGAGACCAGGACTAATGTGAGAGGACTTCAGGACAGAGACCTGAGACCAGGACTAATGTGAGAGGACTTCAGGACAGAGACCAGAGACCAGGACTAATGTGAGAGGACTTCAGGACAGAGACCTGAGACCTGGACTAATGTGAGAGGACTTCAGGACAGAGACCTGAGACCAGGACTAATGTGAGAGGACTTCAGGACAGAGACCAGGACTAATGTGAGAGGACTTCAGGACAGAGACCAGGACTAATGTGTGAGGACTTCAGGACAGAGACCTGAGACCAGGACTAATGTGAGAGGACTTCAGGACTAATACCTGAGACCAGGACTAATGTGAGAGGACTTCAGGACAGAGACCAGAGACCAGGACTAATGTGAGAGGACTTCAGGACAGAGACCTGAGACCTGGACTAATGTGAGAGGACTTCAGGACAGAGACCAGAGACCAGGACTAATGTGAGAGGACTTCAGGACAGAGACCAGAGACCAGGACTAATGTGAGAGGACTTCAGGACTAATACCTGAGACCAAGACTAATGTGAGAGGACTTCAGGACAGAGACCAGAGACCAGGACTAATGTGAGAGGACTTCAGGACAGAGACCAGAGACCAGGACTAATGTGAGAGGACTTCAGGACTAATACCTGAGACCAAGACTAATGTGAGAGGACTTCAGGACAGAGACCAGAGACCAGGACTAATGTGAGAGGACTTCAGGACAGAGACCAGAGACCAGGACTAATGTGAGAGGACTTCAGGACTAATACCTGAGACCAAGACTAATGTGAGAGGACTTCAGGACAGAGACCAGAGACCAAGACTAATGTGAGAGGACTTCAGGACAGAGACCAGAGACCAGGACTAATGTGAGAGGACTTCAGGACTAATACCTGAGACCAGGACTAATGTGAGAGGACTTCAGGACAGAGACCTGAGACCAGGACTAATGTGAGAGGACTTCAGGACAGAGACCTGGACTAATGTGAGAGGACTTCAGGACAGAGACCAGAGACCAGGACTAATGTGAGAGGACGTCAGGATAGAGACCTGAGACCTGGACTAATGTGAGAGGACTTCAGGACAGAGACCAGAGACCAGGACTAATGTGAGAGGACGTCAGGATAGAGACCTGAGACCTGGACTAATGTGAGAGGACTTCAGGACAGAGACCTGAGACCAGGACTAATGTGAGAGGACTTCAGGACAGAGACCACAGACCAGGACTAATGTGAGAGGACTTCAGGACAGAGACCTGGACTAATGTGAGAGGACTTCAGGACAGAGACCAGGACTAATGTGAGAGGACTTCAGGACAGAGACCTGAGACCTGGACTAATGTGAGAGGACTTCAGGACAGAGACTTGAGACCAGGACTAATATGAGAGGACTTCAGGACAGAGACCAGAGACCAGGACTAATGTGAGAGGACTTCAGGACAGAGACCAGAGACCAGGACTAATGTGTGAGGACTTCAGGACAGAGACCAGGACTAATGTGAGAGGACTTCAGGACAGAGACCTGAGACCTGTACTAATGTGAGAGGACTTCAGGACAGAGACCAGAGACCAGGACTAATGTGAGAGGACTTCAGGACAGAGACCTGAGACCAGGACTAATGTGAGAGGACTTCAGGTCAGAGACCTGAGACCAGGACTAATGTGAGAGGACTTCAGGACAGAGACCAGAGACCAGGACTAATGTGAGAGGACTTCAGGACTAATACCTAAGACCAAGACTAATGTGAGAGGACTTCAGGACAGAGACCAGAGACCAGGACTAATGTGAGAGACTTCAGGACAGAGACCAGAGACCAGGACTAATGTGAGAGGACTTCGGGGCTAATACCTGAGACCAGGACTAATGTGAGAGGACTTCAGGACAGAGACCTGAGACCAGGACTAATGTGAGAGGACTTCAGGACAGAGACCTGAGACCTGGACTAATGTGAGAGGACTTCAGGACAGAGACCAGGACTAATGTGAGAGGACTTCAGGACAGAGACCTGAGACCAGGACTAATGTGAGAGGACTTCAGGACAGAGACCTGAGACCTAGACTAATGTGAGAGGACTTCAGGACAGAGACCTGAGACCAGGACTAATGTGAGAGGACTTCAGGACAGAGACCAGAGACCAGGACTAATGTGAGAGGACTTCAGGACAGAGACCAGAGACCAGGACTAATGTGAGAGGACTTCAGGACAGAGACCAGAGACCAGGACTAATGTGTGAGGACTTCAGGACAGAGACCTGAGACCAGGACTAATGTGAGAGGACTTCAGGACTAATACCTGAGACCAGGACTAATG